TGTATGTTCATGTACATATATGTTCGTTGTACATGTATGATCATTGTACATGCATGTTCCATGTAAGAAAATTGTACATGTCTGATAATTGTACATGTATGATAATTATATGTAAGCTTATTGTACTTGAACGATTGTTGATGCTCAGTGTACATGTATAATAATTGTACATGTATGCTCATTGTACATGTATGCTAATTGTACATGCATGATAGTTGTACATGTATGCTTATTGTAAATGTATGCTCAGTGTTCGTGTATATTCATTGTACATGTATGTTCCTTGTACATGTAAGAAAATTGTACATGTCTGATAATTGTACATGTATGATAATTATATGTAAGCTTATTGTACGTGTATGTTAATTGTACACGTATGGGCATTGTACATGTATGCTCATTGTACATGCATGATAGTTGTACATGTAGGCTTATTGTAAATGTATGCTCAGTGTTCGTGTATATTCATTGTACATGTATTGGCATTGTACATGTATACATGTATGTTCATGTACATATATGTTCGTTGTACATGTATGATCATTGTACATGTGTGCTCATTGTACATAAAATGTATTTGTTCATTGTACTTGTCTGACAATTGAACATCCATTCTCATTACACATGTATGTTCTTCGTACATATGTGTTCATTGTACATGTATGTTCCTTGTACATATATGCTCATTGTACATATATGTTCATTGCACATGTATGCTCATTGTACATGTATGCTCATTGTACATGCATGATAGTTGTACATGTATGCTTATTGTAAATGTATGCTCATTGTTCGTGTATATTCATTGTACATGTATGATCATTGTACATGTATGCTCATTGTATATGTATGATAAATAGAGGTTACACAACGAGTGGTTGTTGAATATGGTATTTATTTCACTGGAGTTAGTTAATTTTCAAAAGTTACAAAAGTCACGAGCTTTAGCGAGTGTATTTCTGTAACTTTAGAAAATTAACTAACAAGAGTGAAATAAATACCATACTCAACAACCACGAGTCGTGTGATCTGTTTCTACCACAATCTCATGATCAGTCTGAAATAACATACACACCTGTGTTTGTTGACAAGGCTGGCGTAGTGATATGGACCATATGTAAAAAGTCGCTCATTAATATTCAAAATTAATTTATTTTTTTACAAATTTGATAATTGTCAAAATTAATGTTTCGGCAACAAATTCTTAAAAAAATATAATAGATAAACGACTTCAAATATTGAGAGCAGCAGTATTGCATTATTTTATATAAATTAACCACGGACTATATGCGCGTAAGCATATCGTACTAAGTCTGCCTCCCGCCAAGTGATGAAGACGAACTTATCGCTGTCAATGTCGAAAACTATAGGCCTGGGACGTTTCTTCGTGACGGTTCTATGGTTGGCGTTTTCAGTGAGACCGTCAAAATAGCGATTACGGGACGTTGGGAGAACGAACTATTTTCCGACACTGTGACAGATCTTGTTTTGGTTACACGACCTGGACATGCGACGGTGTGACGTCGACACGATATCGAGCGTCTGTAGCAATTTTGACTGAAACTAGCGATCAAATCTTTAAGTATCATCTTTTAATATTGCCTTATTAACCCCCTTTTCCGCATTACCTCACAAAGTCACCAACATTTGTCGGATGTTGACAGCTGACAACGTAAACAAAACAGCACGTGGCAAAAAGCGCGTGGAAAAAGTCGTTCCGGTCAAGGTTCATTTTCTCGACCAATCAAAACTATTGAAGGTCATATACCACGTGTATGTTCATGGTACATTTATGCTCATTGTACATGTATGTTCAATGTACATGTATTTTCGTTGTACATGTATGATAATTGTACATGTATGATAATTGTACATGTATGTTCATTGTACATGTATTGGCATTGTACATGTATGTTCATTGTACATGTATGATAATTATATGTAAGCTTATTGTACGTGTATGTTAATTGTACACGTATGGGCATTGTACATGTATGCTCATTGTACATGTATGATAATCATATGTAAGCTTATTGTACGTGTATTTTAATTGTAAATGTATGATCGTTGTACATGTATGCTCATTGAACATGTATATTCATGGTACATTTATGCTCATTGTACATATGATCTCATTGTACATGTATGTTCATTGTACTTGTATGTTCGTTATACATTTATGTTCATTGTACATGTATGATAATTATATGTAAGCTTATTGTACATGTATTTTAATTGTAAATGTATGATCGTTGTACATGTATGCCCTTTGTATGTGTGTGCTTATTGTCCATGCATGTTTATTGTACATGTATGCTCACTGTACATGTAGGTTCATTGTACATATATGTATAATAATTGTAGATGAATGCTTATTGTAAATGTTTGATACTTGTACACATATGCTCATTGTTCATATGCTCTCATTCTACATATATATATGATCATTGTTCATGTATGATCACTGTACATGAATGTTCAGTGTACATATATGTTCATTGTACATGAAGGATAATCATATGTAAGCTTATTCTACATGTATGTTCTTTATACATGTATGCTATCTTTAACGATTGTTGATTTTCAGTGTTCATTTATGATCATTGTACATGTAGGATAAATATATGTAAGTATATGTTCATTGTACATGCTTTCTCATTGTACATGTATGATCATTGTACATGCATGTTCATTGTACATACTTTCTCATTGTACATGTTTGCTCATTGTACATGTATGTTCATTCTACATGTATGTTCTTTGTACATGTCTGCTTATTGTACATGTATGCTTATTGAACATGTATGATAATTGTACATGTATGCTTTTTGTACATGCATGCTCATTGTACATGTACGCTTGTTGTACATGTATGTTAATTGTACATGTATGCTCATTGTACATGTAGGATAAGTATATGTAAGCTTATTGTTCATGTATGTTACTTGTACCTGCTTGTTAATTGTACATGTATGTTCATTGCACGTGTATGCTCATTGTACATATATATAAATAGTACATGTATGCTTACTCTACATGGAAGATTATTTTAAATGTATGATACTTGTACATGTATGTTCATTGTACATGTATGATAACCTTAACGAATGTTTATTCTCAGTGTACATATATGCTCATTGTCATGTAGGATAAGTATATGTAAGCATATTGTACATGTATGTTACTAGTACATGTATGTTCATTTTACATGTATGATCGTTGTACATGTATGCTCATTGTACATATATATAAATAGTACATGCATGCTCACTGTACATGTATGATAATTTTACATATATGATAATTGAATTGTACATGTCTGTTCATTGTACATGTATGATCGTTGTACATATATGTTCATTGTACATGTAGGATAAGTACATGCATGATCAATGTACATGTATGTTCATTGTGCGTGTATGCTCATTGTACATATATATATAAATAGTACATGATGTTCACTGTACATGTATGATAGTTGTGCATGTATGTTCATTGTACATGTATGATAACTTAAACGATTGTTGATTATCAGTGTACATATATGCTCATTGTACATGTATGATAAGTATATGTAAGCTTATTGTACATGTATGTTCATTGTACATGTATGTTCATTTTACATGTATGATCGTTGTACATATATGATCATTGTACATGTAGGATAAGTATATGTAAGCCTATGGTACATGTATGTTACTTGTACATGCATGATCATTGTACATGGATGTTCATTGTACATGTATGTTCATTGTACATATATGATCGTTGTACAAGTATGCTCATTGTACATGTATTATAACTTTAACGAATGTTAATTCTCAGTGTACATATATCATCATTGTACATGTAGGATAAGTATATGTAAGCTTATTGTACATGTATGTTCATTGTACTTGTATGTTCGTTATACATTTATGTTCATTGTACATGTATGATAATTGTACATGTATGATAAGTATATGTAAGCTTATTTTGCATGTATGTTCATTGTAGATGCATAATCGTTGTACTTGTATGTTCATTGTACATATATGATCGTTGGACAAGTATGCTCATTGTACATGTATGATAATTATAAATGTATGCTCATTGTACATGTGTACATGTATGTTCATTTTACATGTATGAGCGTTGTACATATATGCTCATTGTACATGTATTATAAATTTAACGAATGTTAATTCTCAGCGTACATATATGCTCATTGTACATGTGTACATGTATGTTCATTTTACATGTATGATCGTTGTACATATATGCTCATTGCACATGGAGGATAAGTATATGTAAGTTTATTTTACATGTATGATCGTTGTACATGTATGCTCATTGTTACCTATATATAAATAGTACATGTATGCTCACTGTACATGTAGGATAAGTATATGTAAGCTTATTGTTCATGTATGCTACTTGTACCTGCTTGATCATTGTACATGTATGGTCATTGTACATGTATGATGATTTTACATGTATAATAATTGGAAATGTATGATCGTTGTACATATATGCCGATTGTACATGTAGGATAAGTATATGTAAGCTTATTGTTCATGTATGCTACTTGTACCTGCATGATCATTGTACATGTATGTTCATTGTACGTGTATGCTCATTGTACATATATATAAATAGTACATGAATGCTCACTGTACATGTATGATAATTATAAATGTATGCTCATTGTACATGTTTCTCGTTGTACATCTGTGCTCATTGTACATGTTTCTCGTTGTACATCTGTACTCATTGTACATGTTTCTCGTTGTACACCTGTGCTCATTGTACATGTTTCTCGTTGTACATCTGTGCTCATTGTACATGTTTCTCGTTGTACATATAAGCTCATTGTACATTTTTGTTCATTGTACATGTTTGTTCATTGTACCTGTATATCCTTTGTACATGAATATCCATTGTACATGTATGTTCATTGTACATGCATGCTCACTGTACATATATGCTAATTGTATAGGTATACTCATTGTACCTGTATGCTCAGTATACATGCTATCTCATTCTTTATATCTGCTCATTGTGCTTGAATATAATGTGTACATGGGCGCGTATTAATCAAATATGTTCAATTTATTGGTAATGCATGTTCATTGTTATGAATGCTCATTTTACATGTTTGAACCATGTAAATGGATGTTCATTGTATCTCTACGGTTTTTTGCAGATATGTTCATTGTAAAAATGTACGCTCATTGTATATGCATATTAATACGACATATTAAATGTGTCACGTGATATGGAATTTCCGGGTCATCCAGCTCTCCTACTTAAAAAGGCAAGAGATTCATCAACGCTTCTCAACTTGAAATTGTCCATAGAAATGCATTACTACGGTTAAAATAAATTTCTGAAATCAATATGTTTTCCTTGAATTAAAAGATAATAACCTACTGGAAAACACAAGTCAAAGAATCACTGTCGTGAAATACAAAACCTGTCTAATTATCAAACCAATGTTTAACTCCACCAGTCTTAAGCGTTATGACAGTGCCCCAAACAAATGTTAAGTAGCTTGCCATCAAGCTGGTATATACGATGATACTGATATAGTTAAGCCTAGTTAAACATCACAAAAATACTGATTAAGCCTGAAATGTTTTGATGTATAACTTAAATCCTAGCTAGATGTACAAGTATTACATTAATTGTCGTCTGATTGTCTTTATTGTGAGTGTTGTAACCGTTCTATTCGCTCCATTGCAGGGTTTGAAATTCGTTTATTTCTTCCAAGACCATCACCAACAACACCAACAGATTCTCTGTATTCCATGAGAGCCCTGCGCGTGTCCCCAACCATTTCAAAACAGATCCCCAAGAGATTTTGGATTATCCAATTCTTACTCCCTCCCTGTTCCTCGTCATACTTTGTGGCCCGAAGTTGTCTCAAGGCTGTGTCACGTCTCCTGCTGTCTCCGAGTCCATGGTAGCACAGGAAAGATAGGAACACGGCATAAGGGAGTGGAGGGATAAATACAGGACCGCTAGGACATTGTTTAATCTCCGGATGTAACTGGGATGGACAGAAATGTGTTTCTTCTTGCGTGAACGTGATATCTGACACAAAGGCCTGGCTTTTGTGAAGTAAGTTGTTTCCACGTCCACAATAGAGCTGCTCATACCTGTTCATATCTCTACGTGAACGACGGAAAAGATAAACTTTGAATGCAGAGATCACGTGTCCACACACTTCCAGTGTTTTCATGTAATTCCCAGTTTGGTAGTAAAATGTTGCCAGTATTAGTAGTCCAGGACTTTTACTTACTGTTGCAAACGGCCTCAGTAGGTTTTTGCATTTCCTGAGAGATCTGTACTTCTCTTTATTTCCTGTAGCAGTGACGTGTTCACTGAATGTCTTCATCCCTGTATGAGATAGTGCTTGAACTGTTTGGAAGTAACCTATGAATTCACCTATGTCCGACGTTGATGCTGAAAGGAGTTCCAAACCCCCGGGAAGTCTAGTATGGCCTAAAGTAAATGCCTCGAGGACTATATTCAAGTATTTTGCAAAACCTGTGTGTGTTAGTTCATGTTGTACTTTTTCCCATTCTCCGTTCATCACACTATGGATGCGCTCTCCTATTGATGGTCGTATGCATGTTCCAACTGAAAGACATTTCCAGTTCATATCATGGAGGTCAGCGAGATAGCGAAGAAGTTTCTTTTGATTTGTACCATAAACTTTGCCAAGGAACATATTGTTGTTCTGAATAAAATAATTTGGACAATGTCCTGCTTTCACCCAATTGATCAAAATCTTCAAACAAAACATGAAACAAAGAAATGTATGTTTTTCTTCCCAAAACGATTTTGTTGTGCTTTCTACTGCATGTAATACAACTGTTTTTATAATATAGGAAGATATAATATCTGTTTCCCCTAATATTCGCTCCAACATGCCAGATATCTGCTTGAGGAAGTACTTGAGAAGTCCATACACTAAAAACTGGACATGAGTCAGAGAATGCATAAGTTTCCTTTCCGCAGTTACAAAAGAAATCCTCCACTGTAGGGATTGGTCAGCAGCAGACGTTTTATCCCCTACAGGGACTAGATGACAACCACCTTGTAATATCTGATCTCTCAAAGCTTTATCTGGCCAGTTATATAGGCGTGGTCTACTCACCCACTCCTTAGCCTCATCTGGCCAATTATAACAAGGGAGGGACATAACTTTATCGACTTCATATACAAAGTTATTGTGTTTCTTCTTTGTCGTAACTGCTGGACCATGGATTTCGTTATCTTGCTCTAACGTACTATCGAATAAATTATGACATGCTTGTTTGTGTATTTCACTTGATATGAACAGTGCATCCCCGACAAGAACAATGGATTCCGCAAAGGGTACACAACACATCTGTCCAAGTTGAAGTAGTTCTAGGTTTACATATCCAGGTCTGCAATAAGCCTCTCTCATCATGACAACTGATTTATTTGCGCTGTTGCGTTGATTACTGATGTCCTTACCTGGACAAATAACTATAACATTTTTGTCAATATGCATTATGTCCTTGTCCGCCCACCAAAACATATATCCTTCTGCTTTACTTCCCGTGGAAAAGGTTTCGATTGTTCTTCCTCTAGGAGACACTAGTTGATCCATCGACACTGCTAGACTCCTTCTGCCAGTCACATCCTCAGGGCTCCCTAAATATCTGTCTAGGATATTATATAGAATCCAGGACTTCTCGTACAGCTCACCCTGATCAGACATTTCATCGATATGTCACAGATCCTGTAAATATAACATAGGAAAAATATTGTCTCATATTAAAAAGGAGAATATTTTACTTCTGACTGATAATACATTTTAGTTAGAATTGCAAATTTTGACAGCTACCCTGGACAAAAGCTTACTTAACCACAATATAAATTCTTCGAACGTACTGTCTTTCATAATGATAGTATGTGTAATTAAATATTACACTTAAAAGGGCTATTTAGTCAAAGGACAACCTGGGAATCGAGTCGATACTGAAACAATATATATCCTAATGAAAGTTTACGTGGTTGATCATGACATGACATGAAGCCAACGTCAAGTGTGGTTAGTTTCACCTTTTGGTAAAGCTGGTGAAAAAAAGAATATCAAAAAAGCGCAATATTCAGGCCTTTCAGTGAGAAGTAAACATTAACTATACCAGGCTGTCGACCGACGACGCTGCACTGTACTTGTACTTGACAGAAATGTACCGTCAACTGTCGCTTAAAAGGACAGTTGTACAGTTCAGGATTTCTTTATTCCGTCTTTGCGTATTGCAGAGTTATCTTCTCTTGAGAGCAGGTATTGATTGTTACGTTATTGGTTTGTGGGAGTAACTTCATCAATTTTTGAGAAAACAACGTCATTTTCTCACACAAACCAATGACGTAACAATCAATACCTGCTCACAAGAGAAGACAACTCTGAAATACGCAAAGACGGAATTACTGAATTAAAACACAAATAAAACATTGCCTCTTGGCAATTCTCGACAGAAATTGTTCGCAGGGAGTATATACGAAAGCGCAAACAAACTGTATTGGTTTGAAGAATTTTGTGACAAGATTGGAAAGAAACTTACTTCACTATATTGTGCCTTTGATACATTCGTACGTTTTTGATAATAAAAAGACTCCTTTAGAAGCATTTAAAAAATAATAATTGACACTATAATAAGATCAGACCTTGAGATCATTTGAAGCGTAATGCAATGGAAGTTTTGATTTTGAAAGTATGTCAAACCCCTCCACAACAATCAGATTCGGGGGAAATACCATGTATTAAGGTCGCGTTCATTCTGTAAAATTGATTTGAAAAAGCGCAAAGTGGCTAAATGAGCCTAAAAACAAAGAACATATCTAACCGCTATTGAAACATCGAAAAGAGTAAAAGGTTAAACGCTTTGTAATGTTAAGTAATTGACCTCCCCCTCCCCCTATTTTTTTTTAATAATACAATCGTCCCCATACAGTCATCAAAGAGCTTACGTAGGACGGAACAGGAGAGTCTAACATTATATCACCACCTGAAGCACAACATCCATAATTATGTCTAAATCTTACATGACAACCAAGGTCACTACGATAGGTTTAAATTGTAAATTAACAGTTTGCAATACACCTTGAGAAACACAGAAAGCAAAGTAGTAAACTCATCCCGTCACTGTTGATGCTGTCATGATGCTATTTGCGTTGTGTGTTACTCTATTACTGCTGCCATCTCATCCCGTCACTGTTGATGCTGTCATGATGCTATTTGCGCTGTGTGTTACTCTCTAACTGCTGTCATGATGCTATTTGTGCTGTGTGTTCCTCTATCACTGCTGTCATGATGCTATTGGCGTTGAGTGTTACTCTATTACTGCTGTCATGATGCTATTTGTGCTGTGTGTTCCTCTATCACTGCTGTCATGATGCTATTGGCGTTGTGTGTTAATCTATTACTGCTGTCATGATGCTATTTGCGTTGTGTGATACTCTATTACTGCTGCAATGATGCTATTTGTGCTGTGTGTTACGCTATTACTGCTGCCATGATGCTATTTGCGTTGTGTGTTACTCTATCACTGCTGTCATGATGCTATTGGCGTTGTGTGTTACTCTATTACTGCTGCCATGATGCTATTTGTGCTGTGTGTTACTCTATTTCTGCTGCCATGATGCTATTTGTGTTGTGTGTTACTCTATTACTGCTGCCATGATGCTATTTGCGTTGTGTGTTACTCTATCACTGCTGTCATGATGCTATTTGCGTTGTGTGTTACTCTATTACTGCTGCCATGATGCTATTTGTGCTGTGTGTTACTCTATTACTGCTGCCATGATGCTATTTGTGCTGTGCGTTACTCTATCACTGCCGCCATGATGCTATTTGCGTTGTGTGTTACTCTATCACTGCTGCCATGATGCTATTTGTGCTGTGTGTTTCTCTATTACTGCTGTCATGATGCTATTTGCGTTGTGTGTTACTCTCTTGCTGCTGTCATGATGCTATTTGTGCTGTGTGTTACTCTATTACTGCTGTCATGATGCTATTTGCGTTGTGTGTTACTCTATTGCTGCTGTCATGATGCTATTTGTGCTGTGTGTTACTCTATCACTGCTGCCATGATGCTTTTTGCGCTGTGTGTTACTCTATTTCTGCTGCCATGATGCTATTTGTGCTGTGTGTTACTCTATTACTGCTGCCATGATGCTATTTGCGTTGTGTGTTACTCTATCACTGCTGCCATGATGCTATTTGCGTTGTGTGTTACTCTATTACTGCTGCCATGATGCTATTTGTGCTGTGTGTTACTCTATCACTGCTGCCATGATGCTATTTGCGTTGTGTGTTACTCTATTACTGCTGCCATGATGCTATTTGTGTTGTGTGTTACTCTATCACTGCTGTCATGATGCTATTTGCGTTGTGTGTTACTCTATTACTGCTGCCATGATGCTATTTGTGCTGTGTGTTACTCTATCACTGCTGCCATGATGCTATTTGCGTTGTGTGTTACTCTATTACTGCTGCCATGATGCTATTTGTGCTGTGTGTTACTCTATCACTGCTGTCATGATGCTATTTGCGTTGTGTGTTACTCTATTACTGCTGCCATGATGCTATTTGTGCTGTGTGTTACTCTATCACTGCTGCCATGATGCTATTTGCGCTTTGTGTTACTCTATTACTGCTGCCATGATGCTTTTTGCGCTGTGTGTTACTCTATCACTGCGTTCCTCAAAAGTATTGACCATCTCAAAATAAACTTTAACAGGTGATTAAATCCGTAATGAACCTTTTAGCAAATCAAATTATACACAATATTTGGAATTGATACCAGTGCATAATAAGCTCTGTGGTCGGAACCAGGTTAACGAGTTAAGGTCTTACCGTTCTACTATGAACAGTGTTTAACATATCCTGTCACATACCCGTCGATAATCCTCTTGTCTGAGTAATGATATGTTTTTATAGGCCCAAATACAATTGACAACTGCAGTAGTTACATAATTTCCCTCGTACTTTTCATATTTCACTGCAATGCCACTATTAACGTCCCGGCTCATAACACCATGGATCAAAAGGAAGTAGTAATACGAACGTAACCGAAAAGTAAACAAACGGTACAGCTTTAACGTTTGACTCTCGTTCCGGAAATTTGGACGAGACCACTCAAATATGAAAATGTGGAAATGATATTTGATTTATATTAAAATAACCACAGTTGAAAATATATCCCAAATCATTATGAGTCTTTTTTTTCAGTTAACAACAGGGCAGTGTCGCTAACACAAGAGTAATCTCTCACTTACTTACTGTCATCTATATCCTACCGAGCTCTTTTTGCCAACTCAGCATTTGATGATTGCTAATTGAACATTTTACATACTGCTCTTTGTTTTTCCGAGATTAATTTTGCTTCAGAAGGTCGAAGCTTACACTCAGATAAACAAAGAATCACGTGTTAATACAACAAGGGCAATACATGTTCATCATGCCGCAATACGGCAATTGAACTTTAGTAAAGACGAGCAGGTCGATGCACCTTGTTGTTGTCAACTTCAGTCACTCGGAACTCGGTTCTTGTTGCTCTTACACATTATTCTGGAGAGGCTCCGATTAAGGGAAATGCTAGTGCGAGAGATCTACACGATGTTAATTTCCCCGTCATGTGATATGTTAAATTCAATAGGACACGAAGTTTATATTGAATACATACTGTCTGACAAGACAGTGTCATTGAGGATTTGACTAAATATGACTTTCTGGTAAACGGACTAAAATGTACACTTAACATCAATACCCTTTGAAGTAGGGCATTTTGACCGTCATTTATGGTAAAGTGACTCTGTACCCAACCCCGATCATCCTTCCTCCCGATCACATCACCCCTTTCACATTATTCGCTAGTGTCAGTGTGGAGTTGAATACGCATGACTTTCCATGTACGAAATAAAAGTAACTATGGCTTCTTCTTTTCCTTTTTATATCTGATTTCTATTCAATATATTTCTAAAATACATAAAATTAATAGATATACAACATTTGATATAGCGCCCTATCTAGCTAGAATAAGCCACTCTAAAGCGCTTTACAGTGCACAGATATATAACTTATACAATCAATACAATTAGCATATACATTTATCAATACAATTTTGAGGAATTCGCAGAAGATGCCTTATTATACAGTTAAAGTATTATACAGTAAAATTTATTCAACATTATTACTGGAGGTCATTACCTCCCTTTATTCAACATTATTACTGGAGGTCATTACCTTCTCCTACCCAATCAATGTTTATTAAAATTATTTCATAAAAACTTGATTAGCGGCCTACATCGAAATGTATGAAATAGTTTTTCTTAATTTAGTGTATACACGGATGGGACCATCTATCTGTCCCTTGCCTTGTATTATATGTAACTACTGTTTTGAGTGTAGTTCCGTACTATAAGTGAGTTATTGTGTGTAATTATGAATGTGTGTGAATGTAATAAATACTATATAACTTTCTTTGTCTGTTCCAGTAATGCAAATATGAAATCACTATATTCATTGATTTTAGCTATAGATACTGTGTTTGTCTTATTATAATTAAAATACTACTTATTAGGTCAGGAAATATACATACCAACCAAGGTTCATCTTCAAACAATTATGCTCTAAGACACTACTCCAATGATCTATCAATAATACACTTGAAATTTAGATCTCTTCGGAACAAAATCGATCTAATTGATACAGAATTGTCTGATAATGATATG